GCCGGTAGGGGCCTCGAGCAGCGGCAGATATCACGTAAGGTCAGGTCACGACGGCGCCCCCAGCAGTTTAGCGGGCATCGTCAACAGCCCCAGCCGCCGGTTCCGCCGACCCACTCAGCATTCTCCACCTCCGGGGCGTCCACCTCCACCCGTGCCGTCCACCCCCGCCCCGTGTCGTCTCCGTACCGTCCACCCCCGCTCGTGCCGTCTCCGTTGTCGTCCATCTCCACCCCCCGTGCTGTCTCCGTACCGTCCACCTCCACCCGTGCCGTCCCCCACCTCATGTACTGCTACCCCCCCCCCCCCCCCCCCCCACCCGCCCGTACCGCCTCCGTACCGTCCACACCCACCGTGCCGCCTCCATACCGTTCACCCCTCCCGTGCCGTCTCCGTACCGGCCAGTCCCGTCCGTGCCGTTTCCGTACTGTCCACGCCCACCTGTGCTGTTCACCCCCGCCCGCACCGTCTCCGTACCGTCCGGCGAGTATGCGCCGCAGCTCCGACCAGAGCCGCTCGCCGGAGATACGCGCCAGGCCGGCCGTGTTGGCGCGAATGGCGTCGAGCGAGGCGGCCTCGTGCGCGTCCGGCGCCGCCGCCAGCCGGCCGTAGAAGCGGAAATAGCGCAGAATGCGCAGGTAGTCCTCCTGTATCCGGCGGGCCGGATCGCCGACGAACCTGCGGCGGTGGCGGGGGGGAAGGTCAAGGCACGACAAAAGCCGGAGCTCAGGTCAGTGGCGATACAGAATCGGGAGGGATGAACAGGGTATAATATAGAATCGAATGGGAAGGGAACGCAACATACATCGGTGGGTTGTCGTCATAAATCAGCGAGACGTCGAGGCCGAGGCCTCGGAGGCTCCGGCGGTGCGCGGGTTGGTGGAGAGGTTGAAAACGTCTGTCTGGGTTCGGCACCCTGGCTCAAGAACGCTGGTCTTCACCAACTGTGAGAGACGGTACACTCTCATACCTACCCGGTCACTGGTCGCGCGCTATCGCGACGGTAGCTGATAAGTCGATCTCACGCCCGGGACCAGCCGAACACGCACCCAGAGCGGTCAGCCTGAGCCTCAGCTCGGCCAATCAGAGCCCGGGACCAGCCGAACACGCGCCCAGACCGGTCAGCCTGAGCCTCAGCTCGGCCAATCAGAGCCCGGGACCAGCCGAACACGAGCTCATACCGGTCAGCCTGAGCCCCAGCTCGGCCAATCAGAGCCTGGGACGGTCAGTCTGACTGCCGGAGTCTGACCCCGGCCTTGTCAGCACGACTAGCACGACCAGTCTGACCCCTGGAGCAGACAGCGGAGCGGTGGGACAGTCTGCGCCCAGCTGACCTGACCCTCCGGCGCTCGAGGTCGTCCACGCCGTCGAAGTAGTCGTACACGGTGCCGTCGAAGTCGAGGAACATGGCGTTGACGGTGAGGTCTCGGCGGCCGGCGTCCAGCTCCCAGTCCGTGGTGAACTCCACCTGCCAGCGCCGGCGCCACGCGGCGCGGTGAGCACGCGGCGGCTCCGGCGGCCAGCCGTGCCCGCGCGCTCGCGCACCCTGAGCGAGCGCACGCACTCGCTGCCATCGCACGCACGCGCGCGCGCGCGCACGCACGCACGCACACACAAACGCAAACGCACACGCACACGCACACGCACCATCTCCGCAGTGACCCACGATTGTCACGGTTCAAGCACAACCGCGTTTGACGCCCTGCCTTAGTTTTCATGTGCTATCAGGCAAAGGTATCCCATTTAAATGAGATGACGTCAATTTCCACACCAAATCGTAGTCCCTGGAATCTACTGGCTTTCTCTGGACCTAGGCGTAAAGCACGCGCGCGAGTCTGCGACACAGATTCGTTGCCGAGTGCGAGCCAGCGCCAGGCTACCGGACGTCTCTACGGCCTGCCGACAATGACCGTCACAATGACCGACATGCCCTCCGATCCTCGCCCCTGACCTCGGCAAAGCCTCTGACCTCGGCATACCATCTGAACCTCCCCCTCTGACCCCGGCATACCGTCTAACCCTTGCCCTCTGACCTCGGCGTGCCGACCGTCGGTGGCCACGTCCACGCGCAGCGTGGTGACCTCCATGTTGACGGCGTCGGCGATGCGGGCGGTGATGGTGCCGTGCCGCTCGCCCTTGGTATTGATCAACCGCACCTCCTCCTTGGCGAACAGCTCCTTCATCTGGCCGGGCGTCGCCGGCGTGGCGAAGTCCAGGTCGTGAGGGACGATGCCTGCCGGGGTCACCGGGGTCGGCCGGTCACACGCGCCGGGCCGGGCCGCGCCGACAGCGGAGCTGCCCCGAGGCTGCGCGAGCGCCACCGCGGCACGCGGGCGCGACAAGGCGACGAGGCTGCCGTCGTGTTCGCCACGTCCGTTGGAAGGGGAAGTAGAACTGCTCTGATTGCCAGTTGGAAGGGGAAAGAGAACTGCTCTGATAATCCGTTGGAAGGGGAAAGAGAACTGCTCTGATAATCCGTTGGAAGGGGAAGGAGAACTGCTCGGATTATCCGTCGGAAGGGGAAGGAGAACTGCTCGGATTATCCGTTGGAAGGGGAAGGAGAACTGCCCGGATTATCCGTAGGAAGGGGAAGGAGAACTGCTCGGATTGTCCGGGCACATAGCACAATACGCTGATTTACAGGGGTTTCAGGGATTACAGGCATAAGCAGGTTTACGGATCAAGTCTAATCGATTTACAGGTCACCACTGCCGAGTGCTGGCCGGCACTGGATCATGAAACAGACATAGCGGAAGCCGACCGTCCGTTTTTAATTTGCCCCACCCGCGAGATAACATATTTTTGTAGTTGTGAGGCGACACACGTACACACGTAGTTTCGATCGCGTCATCGCTTCAGAAGACAAAAACAAAAAACAAACAACAAACAGAACAAATCCGCTCGATATACAGTGCCAGCACAGGTGGTGAACTGGTTGCGAGCATGCACTCAATGTCACTCAGAAACCACGCCTATCTTCACCACCATCAGAAGCTCTCAGCCACGTGGCCGCTAGCTCACCCGACAGAATATCCCGCACGGCGCCGCCGGCCAGCCGCAGCTGGTAACCATGGCGACGGAACATGTCGGCGAGCAGCGCCACCTCGGGCGTGGCCAGCGGCCCGCAGCTGCTCGGTCGACAGCTGCATGGTGTTCAGTTGCCTGGCCGGCTGAGGGCGCGGGCCGGCCGGCGGTCGGCGGGCGAGGGCGGGCAGCAGGCGGCGCAGGGGCGGCGTTATCATCCGGTCCGCGCGGCGGCCACCGACGCGCCCAGAGGAGCCGCCTGGTGGGAGACGGAGGAGCTGTCAGGGGCAGGGTCCTCAGGGAAGGGGTTGTCATGGAGGGGAGCGGTGTCGGGGGGGAGGGTCCTCTGGAAAGGGTCGTCAGGGCGGAGGGTCCTCCGGGAGGGAGGGTCGTCAGGCAGAGTAGAAGAGCTGTCAGAGGGAGGGCCTCAGGGGGAGGGTCGTCAGGGAAAGGAGAGGGCTGTCAGAGGGAGGGTCCTCAGAAGGGTCGTCAGGGAGAGGGGGAGAGAAGTCACAGGGAGGGCCATCAGGGAGCGGGGGAGAGCTGGCAGGGGCAGGATCCTCAGGAGGAGGGTCGTCAGGGCAGGAGGGTCTGGCGGGAAGAGCAGGGAAGGCGTAGTCTGGAGTCTACGAGACGAAGGGGACGGTGCACAGATGTCGGTCAGAGAGCCAGGCAGCGGCGGTGGTGCCCTCTTAGCCCTCAGAGACGACATGCGACATGCAGGCTGCTTGTCTGCAGTGACACACACCAGCACATTTACCCATTACCCACTAGCCGGTGACCGGGTCAGCTTAGGCAAGAGAAAAGAGCTGGAAGCCGTCAGACTTAAGCCAGGCGCGACAAGTCACAACGCTAGTTATGGCCAGGGAGAGGGCAGACATCCACTAACGGACAGGCCCACTCACAGTAAATTGTCGCGGAGATGCGCGGTAGGAGTAAGACGGGGTGCAGCAGAGAAGCTACACGTGTGTGGGGAGTAGAGAATGAAGGAGGCCAAAGAGATCAACGTGATAAAGTTTGTCGTTTGTAGCCTTTCAGTGCCTCAACTGTTCGTTTTTGGTAAATGCTGGCGGCTATCATAAGCCAAACCCATGTGAAACAATGCAGAATATTCGCGGCAAAACGTGCCAGAATATATTCATAAATGCGGTACACGGGAATACATGGGAAGTACACAGATGTGTTTCGACAAGTCACCTTTACGACGAATAGCCATATTAGGAAACGCGTCCCTTGAAAAATACGTCATGTATTCCCGGACGAACTACCATGTATAGAAATATTACCGGACAACATTGCACGGTGCAGCGGTTCGATACACTCAATACAAAGGCGTGACTGACACCTCTCTTTTCTCACACGATAATCACGCACGACGAAATCGCACATGCTGTTTTGCGCGCCCCGCAAGGACATCATCTATGGTACACGCGTATCCTATCTTTATGCATTGATCCCGTTTGTCTGTGCCGTCATATCACAACGTTTCATCCCGATAGGCTTCGTGGGCAGAGAGTAACAGGCAGCAATGGAGCCATCACTCAGCATGTAAACACCCGGTGAAGATTGCCCTTCCAACGTCAAAGTAGGTCTATTGCATTAAAAACTGAATGAGGAATTGGTCAAGCACTCTATGCAGCATGCCCCTTTCGAGTCAAAAGGGTCTTTAAAATGCACATATTACAAATACCAATGTTTTCAGTACCTCAATACACGCATGTAATACAAGCATGCATACAATTGTGCAGATAGCTATGCAGAATGGGTAAACTTCTTCCAGCTTTCGCGATGACCAAGGCACTTTCTGCTCCAACAGATAATCCGGGTGTTCATCCCATGGTCACAGTAGATAGCTGGAGCTGCATGATGCCTCTCCGGTTTCCCGTGGCCATTCGCTCCAAAGCCTTTCACCCGACACAGCCCGCCGGCAACAGGACCGCCACCTGCCGCCTCCTGACCGCAACAGGTCCGCACGCCCTGCGACTAGCACTGCGGCAGGTCGCCGCCAGGGGCGGCTCAGTAGCGCGTCAGCTTCAGCGGGAAGTTCTCGCTGACCAGGTGGTCATCCTTAAACACCACCACCACGTTCACGGAGAAGTCGATCTGGAAGTGGGCGGCGCTGACGGAGGCGCACGTGAAGAGCCGCGGGAACACCATGTGGATGGGGATGGCAAGGCCGCGCGGCACGTCGCCAAGCCCGATCTGGATGTTCTGCACCTCGGAGCACTGGCGGCTGAGCGCGTCGGCGCGGCCGCAAGCCTCGGCGCGCACCCAGCTGCAGCTCGATGCTGCGCACCGGCGCCTCGCTGCTCTCCAGCACCAGCTCGCCGCGCAGCGGCTCGCCCAGCGCGCACTCGGTCGAGTCGAGTCGGCCGCGCAGGCGGAAGCGCGGCGGCGGCGCGGCGGCCGCGTCGGCGCGCGTCAGGCTGCTCGGCGAGACGAGGAACTGAGCGGCCGCTCGGCGGCCGGCGGCGCCGCGCCGCGGCGCGCCTCCACCATGAACTCGAGCTGCGCGCGCGCGTCGCGCGTCAGCACGCCCCGCCGCACCTCGCACGCCACCGTGTACTGCACGCTCACGTACAGGCCGTGGTAGGTCTCGTGCAGCGGCCGGCCGTGGCGCGCCGCCAGCGCCACCTCGAACGGCACCTCGGTGCGGCCAGCCGGCAGGCGGCCGGGCGGCGCCAGCTCCAGCGTCTCGTGCAGCAGCCGCAGCGACTTGGGCGTGGCGTAGAAGCTGTCGACGAGGCCGGCCGACTTGCCCGAGTGCGTCAGCTGGACGTCGCCCTGCACGCAGAGCGAGGACGCCCTCGTGGCGCAGCTCGGTGCGCGCCGTCAGCGCCGCCACGCCGCAGAGCAGCTCGCCTTCGCGGTACACCTTGCTGGCGCGCTGCAGGCGCAGCTCCACCGAGACCATGGCTGAAACACGGCAGAGCCGGCGGCGCGTCAGCCGGCGCCGGCCTACCATCTTGCGGCTGGTGGCGGAGTCACAGCCGGGTCACTCGGCACGGGTTCGCGACAGCGGCGCGCCGCTCATCGCGCGCCAGACGACAGTGGCGAGGCGTGTGCCCGCCATCACCCTCACATGCCGCGAAGCCACGCTCAATCGCCCGGGGTGCCAAACTCTTGGATGTTGTTGATGCTTGATGGCATTGTGGTCGTGATGCATCTTGTGGTTGAATATTTGTTATTCTCCCTCCAAGGGGCCTTCCATTCCCTTTTCATGCATGCAAAAGCATTGCACTCAACCAAAGGCTACATGACACTTGCAGAAGAACAGATCTACTATGAAATAGCCTTGACATTTGTTTTGTCATGCACTGAACAATACAGTGTTCAAGCTCATTATCTTCTTTTGCAGACAGCAGGCCAAGATTTCATAAAACTATCAAACCTATCTACACCACCAGCACAGTTCACGAGCATCACCAATATCACCTTTTTTACTAAAACACTCCTCTAATCTACAGTTTGCACTTATATTGACACCTTGTTCAATTCCATCCAACTAGCTTTATGCTGACAATATTGGATAATACCAAATCATACTTGCATCAGTAATTATATGTTATAAATAATATCAATGCCAACTTCCATGGACTATTCCCAGCAGCTGGAGCGGTCCACCATAGCTAATGAACATGGATCATGGTAGTCATGATCCATGATTATAGATCATGGATCAGGGGTTGTTAGTCATAAAATTTGAGAAGGTTGTTGTTATTTATGATAGATAAAATCTTATTATGCCATAGCATACCAAAGGTATGTTACAACTTAAACATATATATATATATATATATATATATATATATATAGATAGATAGATAGATAGATAGATAGATAGATAGATAGATAGATAGATAGATAGTTGTTGCTGCAACCTCTGACATGCAGGACATGTCCAGGTAAGGTGTTATCTTTACAGCTTGATGTCACAGTACATACCCAAGATCAGTAATCATTGCTGACTTCTAAAAGTGAGCTTGTGACTTGTGGGTCATGCTTTGAATATGCCTTAGATCCCAAGTCATCAGAAATTAATTCAAGCCATCAGAACACATGTTTTATAACATTTAGGAGCAAGAATAGTGTCTGAGCCAAATTTCATGATATCTTGTCCAATTGTGAAGGCAAAAGAACAATTTTAAGTTGGTCAAGATAATATGCAATAAGCTGATAATGAAAGATGACAGCATCACATGGGAGTTTAAACACACACCTAATGTCCCCTCCCAACCTCTCCTTCACACGCTGCAACTGCACGCAGCCCGCAGCTCCATCACGCCGAGGAGTGAGGACTGCGTCAATATGGCAGAAGACAAGGGCAGGACAAGTAGAAAACAGCATCACAACGAGGCAGAAAGGAAGCAACTAACCTGTTAAATCTTAATTCTACGATTCAGCTGCACATCGGACGAAACACGGACCCACCACGCAACAAGTACGGCTTTTATCTTCACCCAGCCTGAACGCATGCGACCAGCGACCCAGGGCAATACAACACCCCCAGCGACCACATCACCCAAAGTTTAAAATCAAGTTCTATCAATTGGTCCACGTGAGTCGGGCCACATTTTGCAAGCACTCGGTTTACTCAAACCCGTAAAAATAGGAGAAAACGGTTTTAAATGATTCAGAAATGTCTTCTTAATCCTAATTTCTAAATATATGATAAAAATGGCAATAGATGGTGTAGAAAACTTCTAGTCACGTAAGAACAATGCGAGTTGCATCAGGTTGTTCAACTATTACCACCTAGGCAGCTGTCTATTAAAACAACGCAGGACGAACGGAGGAAGCCTCAATAGACTTTATAGCTAATGTCGGTCTTTCCAGCGCATCACTGACAAAAGACAGGATTGTCAGTGCAATTTTACGAGATTCCGGTGTCACGCGCCTGGTGCCATTTGGGGTGGGCGCGTGTTGTTGGCAGAGGCCAGTACTTTGGAGCAAGTTGTGAACGACCTAGGTCGAGTGGACACATAATTATCGCAAGACATTGAATGGTGCCCATGAGGCATACTTAATATACTAAAGTTGTTTCCTTTTGTTGTACCAAAAACAACAGAAATCAGTAAGTGCTGTGCGTCCTGCTTTTGTTAGTTTATTGGTGTTATTCATGGCTATGAGGGTCGCGTGGTTAGATAGAACCAGGTACACAGCCATTACTTGTTATGAAGGTGCCTGGGGTTTTGCTCTTATATCTTGCTCCAGGAGTCCAAAAATGTCATGTAAGGCTGCCAAATAAGGGGGCAGTGGTGTTGCTGACGGGATCCCTTTAGTTGTGCTTTTGGCCCAGTCCACAAAATGTCTATCTAGAGCATGAGACACCTAGGAGCCATCTGGATGATGGAGATCACATGTGTGTGGATCTAACTCATGCCAGGCCATATTGTGCTGATTTTGAAATTTTGGTGTGCAAGGAAGGAATTTGGGAGTACCCATGTAGGATGATAATTTCTTGAAAAAAGTTTTTCCTTGCACTGAAATTGGCAGTGCCTATGATTCTAAGTCCTCTAGCTAAATTCTGAAATTTGGACATACAGTGTGCAACTGGGTAATGTTCTGCATGCTATGCCATGATGCATGATGATATTTAGGTGTGATGGTAGTAAAGCAGGACCATGGGCACATGATAACTTGATATCTCAGCTAATTGTCAAAAGATATTCTGCTTTGATCTGTCAAGGTGAGATGCAAAGTATGCTAGGAGAGCAGCACCTAGGAAATAAATATAGGGAATAAGTAGCAAAGAATGCTAGGAGAGTTTTTGCTTTGATGTTGTGGAGGGGTATAAAACATCTAGTATTAAATGTGTTTAGAACGTGATGCACAAGTATGAGTGCCACAAACTTGAAAACCGGCGGAAACGACATATCCGACATGGGTTGGATTGTACAATTATCTTCGTCAATTGCATGTAAAGATTCAGCAGCACCGATGCAACTACTGCTCTAAGGCTAATGTGCCAAGGATATTCATCGTGTATATTTCAAACTTGTGTACATGAAGTGATTTATCCGTGCCCGTACGGGCGCACACATGAGCAGGCGAAATGCTCCGGCATTTGCGAGCACGTGGGGCTTTCAGCAGCAATGTAAGATCCTTCTGACATCATCAAAAAGGACCACGATCTACGTGGAAGCCCCGGACGGGTCAAAATGCCCGGCCGATAAGATTTAGCCCCCCCCCCCCCCCCGATCAACAGCGTGGGTCCTCCGATAAAGTGGGAAAACACAAGGCCAATGGGGACAGTGCCTGAGCGATCGAGGGTGCCGCGACAGGTCAACAGAGAGGCTCTTGTCAACAGTGCAGGGTCTTGAGAGCAACGCGAGAAGGATCAAGACCAGCTTGGTGAGCCCCTAAACGATCGGGAGTGTCCAGTCAGGTTAAGACATAGTCATTGTCATAGTCATAGTCATAGTCATAGTCATAGTCACAGCCATTTATTGGAATTATCATGGCCATAGTCATAGTCATAGCCATTTATTGGAATCTTACCACTCGGTGGTTATTACGAATTCAGTCAATGCGCTTACAGGATGCTGTAAAGTGTCAGACAAAGTAGTATGCAATGGTTGCAATAGAAGTAAAATATAGGTGCTACTTTAAACGCTCCCTATGAATACGCATGCCACAACAAGACCGTCCCAAGTGCAGTGCAGCGACATCACACGTTGCTGTCCCCCGGCAGCCGGCTCCGCAGACCTGGCCTCACAGCATGGCACGGATCGATGCGCAAACTCTCGCTGAGTTCTTGTAAGTCGACTCCTTTGGAACCACAGAATCCCGGCCGCTGCCGGTACGGGTATCCCGCGATGATGCACGGATGCGAACAGACATGTCCATTATAGTTGGGGGGGGAGGGGGACACTAGCTGCGGTGCAGGGCTCTCTGCACCTGTGCAAGGTCGTGGTGGCGCACCGTCCCCTCCACCCTTGTGCAGCCAAGTGCTTGTAGAGCCGGCGAAATGTGTTCCGAGTGCCGCATCCCAGTCACACGTCTGGCCGCGAAGTTCCAGTGTCTTTTGGACACGTTGAAGCTGACACTAGTGGCTCCTCCGCAGACAGAAAGGCAGTGATAGATGTGTGGGAAAACTTCTGCCTGGACTAGAAGTTTGAGGAAGTCGGATGTAAATGATACCACAGGTCCTGTGGAGGGATGATATGATGGAGGTTCACCGACAGACCAACATGGGTGTACGCGAGTCCCACGTCAGATGCTGGCCGAAGAATACGCCCAATAGTTTTTACGGTTTTGTAACGATTAAATTGTGATGTATTTGTGTTACAAAACTGCATCCGTTCGTCCGGCTGTGGACCTCGTCGGAGCCTATGAGCTCATTCGGGGGCCCAAGGAGGTACATAGTCCGTGCGCTCCCCTCTGGATCCGCCACTGGCCCGAACAGCGTGACAGAGGGCCCCCAACAATAGCGTTGGGTCCTTCAAGCAAACTAAAAGTATCCAAGATAAATTGGAGCCACCTCCCCCCCCCCAAACGACCCAAACGCCCCACTAGCAGGTAACAAATGGTGCCCGATGATGGGCGTAGAGCCCCCCCCCCCCATTCAGACAGTAATACTAATAGCGTAGAGCGCTCCATTCAGATAGTAAATACTAAAGACCCGGAGTGGCGGGCCGGATGATCCAGTCTGCCGAGCAGATTATCCGATAGGGACCCCAATAAGAGCGCAAGGCAGGGCAAGTGTCGGCAGATTGGGAAGGGCCCTAGACCGCTGTAGACGGCCCATGAGCTTATCGCGAGTGTGTCAGTGGAAGAACGGAGACCGATGTGACGGGCCCGTAAGCAGCGGAGAGTAGCCCTGCGGGTCAACATATAGAGTTCCGGGCAATAGCGTAAAAGCTTTTCAGGCGAATAGGAAGAATCCTTGGAGAGCCCGACCGACAATAGTGCCCCAGCACGCTGGCGGATAGGGCTCAACAAAAGCGTAGGACACTCCCAGCAAATGCATAGATATCAATGACAACGTGGAAGGCTCCTTAGCCACCAGATCGCCCTTGCAAGTGGACGTGTAGGGCCCCGGGCAACAGCACAGGCCCCTAGACAGCTCAAAGGGCCCTAACATCTCTCCAATCACCACCCGCTCAATCAAGAAGAGTAATTTTCTTCTTCCACTTGTGAGCCCTTTGCTTCCGCTTGCAACATTTTTTGTGTCTGGAGGCCCAAAGACGTCAGTTTTGTTGCGCTTTGTGTTGGAGGCTGTGTTTGTTCGGCCGGCTGTGGGCGCCTCGGAGCCTTTTATGAAGCTCAAGGTGTGGGGCATATCCCCGTGCCCCCCCCCCCCCCCCCCCGGATCCGCCACTGCGTGAACATGGACATGCGAATTGATACGGCCTGTTGAGAGCCCTGCGTGCGAGAGCTCAGCGCATCTATGAAACATACCCGTTCTTCCATGCATCGCCACAAGTCTAGTGTTTAAATACGTAAACAATGGCTAGAGACGGCTGGTTCTCATCCAAGGTATACAGTGGCACCCCTGGACGCATGTATCTAAATATTGAAGTGTTTGTAGTTTTGCATTTATGCACACCTCCCTGACTGGACAATCTTCAGATGACACATATTTTGTCGATCGAACTGAAGTAACTGGTTAAAGTCTCAAATACGCGTTAGATATAATTGGATGAAAATTGTACGCTCTAATGAGCTGGAATAGACTGGAGGCTGATCTAATTATGTTCTCATATGATCATTCCATATTAAAGTTGAATACGGTCTAACAGTGCCGTAGTTATGCGACTTTTTACGAATGTATCAATCATGAATGTATCAAAAAACAACCCTCTCTCGTGGATTGGGTCTGAATGACGTCAGCTAAAAGGCGGAAAGGGGCCATATTGAGTTTATGTGTCGTGGATCGGCTTAGTCTGGATGTCGGGACTAAATGCATGAACAACTTTCATCGACATATTGATACAGGGGACCCTGGGGCGGGTGGCAGTCATCCGCAAACTTTAAAAACAGCCATACAAATACCCAAACTGTGCATAGTATTGAGCTGTCATTTGTGCGCTAGTGTTGAGGGCCAAGGAACATCGTATCACAATGAACGGATATCCCTATTGCGACATTTTCACGAACTCGCACCGTCGCCGTGGTAACCCTATGATAACGCCGAATTCCTAAACCGTTCGGTGTATCTTCCGTATCTATACAGTTAGCTTTTGCATCGTAGCTCGTTGCACAGAAACTGTTGGCGCCCCTGACTGTAGCGGGTACAATGTTGTTACTCAGTCCGTGCTGTGATGCATTTATACGTGACGTCGAGGGGAGCGGCAGATCCGCCACCGTTACGGGTGGTCCAGTCCGCAGCCGACCGTCCGGGTGGGCCGTCTGTGGGCACAAAAACTGTTCCAGACTGGTGCGGTCGCACAAAAACGCCGCAACAGGCCGTGGGTTCAAAACCGAAGCGTGGACCGTGCTCCTGTTGTCGCTTTGGTGACGCGTTTTGCCTGTCGCGTCCTGGGCCCGCCCTGCATAGGAACAGGAGTGAGTGGATGTATGCCGCGGACAGGCGTGTGGAAGCTTGTGAACGGTAGTGTGCGGACACTCCTGCGGACAGACGTATGTGGACGAAAGCCTGCGGGCGGTAGTATGTACTCGCCTGCGGGCAGGCTTGTGTGGAACGGAAGCCTGTGGACGGTAGTATGTACACGCCTGCGGGCGGGCGTATGTGGACGAAAGCCTGTGGGCGGTAGTATGTACTCGCCTGCGGGCAGGCTTGTGTGAACGGAAGCCTGCGGGCGGTAGTATGTACTTCGCCTGCGGGCAGGCTTGTGTGAACGGAAGCCTGTGGACGGTAGTTATGTACACCGCCTGCGGGCGGGCGTTATGTGGACGAAAGCCTGTGGGCGGTAGTATGTACTCGCCTGCGGGCAGGCTTGTGTGAACGGAAGCCTGCGGGCGGGTAGTATGTACTCGCCTGCGGGCAGGCTTGTGTGAACGGAAGCCTGCGGGCGGTAGTATGTACTCGCCTGCGGCAGGCTTGTGTGAACGGAAGCCTGTGGGCGGTAGTATGTACTCGCCTGCGGCAGGCTTGTGTGAACGGAAGCCTGCGGGCGGTAGTATGTACTCGCCTGCGGGCAGGCTTGTGTGAACGGAAGCCTGTGGACGGTAGTATGTACACGCCTGCGGGCGGGCGTATGTGGACGAAAGCCTGTGGGCGGTAGTATGTACTCGCCTGCGGGCAGGCTTGTGTGAACGGAAGCTGCGGGCGGTAGTATGTACTCGCCTGCGGGCAGGCTTGTGTGAACGGAAGCCTGTGGACGGTAGTATGTACACGCCTGCGGGCGGGCGTATGTGGACGAAAGCCTGTGGGCTGGTAGTATGTACTCGCCTGCGGGCAGGCTTGTGTGAACGGAAGCCTGCGGGCGGGTAGTATGTACTCGCCTGCGGGCAGGCTTGTGTGAACGGAAGCCTGTGGGGCGGTAGTATGTACTCGCCTGCGGGGCGGGCGTATGTGGACGAAAGCCTGTGGGCGGTAGTATGTACTCGCCTGCGGGCAGGCTTGTGTGAACAGAAGCCTGTGGACGGTAGTATGTACTCGCCTGCGGGCAGGCTTGTGTGAACGGAAGCCTGTGGACGGTAGTATGTACACGCCTGCGGGCGGGCGTGTGTGAACGGAAGCCTGTGGACGGTAGTATGTACTCGCCTGCGGGCAGGCTTGTGTGAATGGAAGCCTGTGGACGGTAGTATGTACTCGCCTGCGGGCAGGCTTGTATGGACGGAAGCCTGTGGACAGTAGTGTGTACTCGCCTGCGGGCAGGCTTGTGGTGACGGAAGCCTGTGGACGGTAGTATGTACATGCCTGCGGGCAGGCGTGGTGTGGACGAAAGCCTGTGGACAGTAGTGTGTGGACACTCCTGCGGGCAGACGTGTGTGGACATAAGCCTGTGAACGGTAGTGGGTGGACACTCCTGCATACAGGCTTGTGTGGATAGAAGCCTGTGGACGGTCGGCATGTAGACGCCTGCGGGTAGGCGTGTATGGATGGAGGCCTGTGGACGGTAGTATGTGGACACTGCTGCAGACAGGCTTGTGTGGGCAGAAGCGGGCAGACGTCGTGCCGTGCCTAGCCTAGCCGTTACCGGCGGCGGTCGGTGACGGCTCGGTCGGCGCCGCTCCCCTGGCGCGCGGCCACGGCGCCCGGTCAGCAGCGCCGCCGCCGCGCGCCGACGGTGGGCGCTACGAGGCATTGGCCGACGCCCGGCTGCTGCGTCAGGTGTGCGCCGCCGCGCAGAGGCGTGTCACCGGTGAGACGGGGCGCGCATGACTCCCGGTACTAGGCTGGAACGGATGGTACGGGCCGCGAGCAGGCCCGCCTGCCGGGGCGGCGGTGTGCTCGGGCGTTGTTCCGGGTGGCGTCCGGTGCAGCGCGAGCGTAGATAGGAAGCGTTTGTGATCTCGGGTTTTTGGATGTTTGCTTGCAGTATCGTTCCTTCCTAGTACGGCTTTCAAGCGCTTCTCGTTTGCCGTTCGAGTTTGGTAGGTAGCGACAGGGACTTGGTTTGGTGGTTAGTAGTACTGGCTAGCACTGAAAATATTGAAAGATACTGAAGCAAGTGTACGAGAAGAAACCACTGAAAATGAAACGCCACAATACACTGACATGAGTGACGTATGTACTCTGGGAGCGACATCTGCAGCTCAGCTGCGTATTTGGTGCTGGCAGGCAGGGGCCGTCGGGTGCACAGAGCACCGATGGCTTCGGGCGCTCCCATTGTCAGAATCAGGGTTGCGATAGGTCACAAGGTCGTACGCCGATCTGGCACGGTGGCGATCCCTGCAGCGCGCCCGGAAGCGGCTCCCGCCGACCGTGGAGGCCGTGACGTAATCAGCTGCAGTGACCACGCGGTCGAAGTGCCCGGCGACACCAGGGGCGAATCCATGGGCGGCTCCTCGCCGTCATCGGGCGCGTAGTCCCGACGTCGGCCTGTCCCCGCGGGCCAACCGGCCTGCATACGCCGGCCGTTCCCACCTCCGGGGAGTCCTGCGCGAGGCTCGGACCTGGCCGAGCCGCTGCCTTGTCATGTTCATGCGGTTGTGCATGGTGCAGGGGCGCTCCCTGTTATGTGTTTGCCGTGGGTCGCGGTCACTGGTGCGCATGTGTGTTGGTTTATGCGGGGGGGGGGGGGGTGCTATGGCCCTGTCTCTCCAGGCGGGGGTCGCTTAATGAATGCAGTACCGAAGACGCACCTTCATGCGCTCGTGGCGGCGCCTCCGCCCCGTTCAGAATCATCAGGGCTCACCGACCAGTGTCTCCGTCACCTGGCCGGGGACGTCCTCCCGCCCCCCCTCTACGCGTCCCTGGCGTCGCCCTTGTCCAGTTTGAAATTACCAGTGCCCGTCGCGTATGTCCCCGCCCCGCCCCGCCGAGGGCCCCCTCCACGCATCCCTGGCGGCGCCGCTGTGCGTGTCGAAGGTCACGGGGGCCCGCGCACAGCTCCTGATCGGTGGTGGTCCTGGCTCGGCGGCCTCGCAGATACGGAGCCGGCCGGCTTCTGGCGAGTGTGCGCGGACCTTACTCTGTGGTGAGACGGACCCGAGCTCCTTTCTCACGGCCCGCCCGCTCCTCTGGTAGGTGCCAGGACCAGCGCGACTTTCGGCGTTTGCTGGGCGTGCGTTGCCCTCCGATGCGCGTGATGGTTGCACATGCTGGCCAGGAGATCTTTCTGCGAGTTCGCTATGAACTCAGCATGAGATCCTCGTTCTTGAACCTGTCATGATGCGTGACTGTGTGACTGTCATGTTCATGAACCTGTCATGATGCGTGACTGTGTGACTGTCATGTTCATGAACCTGTCATGATGCTGATCACGCCGTGACAGTCCGTAGCGGAAGTCATTTCCAGTGATGTGGTGACAGGGTGATGGGCCTTGGCAGATGTAGGCTTGGAGAAGTTTTGTCCAGCTGCGGTTCGTTAGTCGTGGTCATCTTTCGACAGAGTGTGATGTTGAACTCGGGCTGTGCGCCGTGGTTGGTGTGCGGAAAATCGTGAAGTTCCGCTTGAGCACAGTCTTTGATTATATCATGGTCATATTGGCCCCCAAAATGGGCACAGAACACCGTTTCACGTCGTTTCAGTTTGTGCCCCGTGCATTTTCCGTCGAAGACCTCCCCCCCCCCCCTCGTTCGGATGCTGCGTTGTCGTACCGGACACTGGGTTTTAGCTACCACGAGACGGGTCGGCTATTGTTTTTGTTCTCTTCAACGAAGCGTCGTCCAGTGCTGTCGAGCTTACAGCCATGGTGATACGATCGCACAATTAAAAACCGGCGATGCACTGGCTCACACACGGGAAACAAACCGGCTATCCGCTATGCAGTGCAAGCGGACCAGAAACGAGGTGTCATCAATTGTGGTCAGAAAAGGACCAATCACTTGCGCGTCGAGCACCTATCGAGTGACTGTCGAGTGCGAATCGAGCTCTTGAATACTGTCGTCCTTGAATCCTTAGGAAGCTGCGATATGCCAAGTCACTATGGCTGTGTTGCAAAGGGGGAGTAAGGGGCGTTCTTGCAATCGGTGTGGGTCTTTGGATGATGTGCCAAGTCATGGTGACGTCACGCGATAAGAGTGCTCAAGTGATCTGTACGCGTCACGTCAGGTGACCGCCTGCTTTGCTTTTGCTTTTGCTTTTGCTTTTGCTTTTGTTTGTCACCTGCCTCGACCAGTGATATGGACGGGAGCTTTCAGTGGTTTAAATTCTTCACCATACAGCTAGCGTACAACTGCACGTTCTTAGTTTATGACTTACGTATTTGCGGTTTGATGAACGCGCTACGAGCGAAATTTGTCGGTATGTTACTACAAAGGGCTTCGAATCTCTTAATGCAGTGTAGCAGATATCCTCAGAAGTTTGTTGTGTGCCATTACATCCCAGATTGTGGTACCCAGTTCCTCAGAAGTTTTTTGTGCGCCATTGCATTCCAGATTGTGGTACCCAATTCCTCAGACGTTTTTTTTGTGCGCCATTGTATTCCGAATTGTGGTACCCAATCCACAGCTTCCTTGACCGAAGGCAGATCTTTTATCCTGTCTGATAGTATTCTGCCAGGCATCGCTTTGTTTATGGTAAGCAGCGTTACGAAAAAGCTGTTACGCTAGATGCTCTCCGAAAACAAGCAGTTGGGGGATGGAGAGGATGGAGGGGCGGTTACTGCTAGGACGCGCGTTTCCGCCCTCTGTCGACGTCATTAGCCAGTCAGCGACTGTCGAATCACTTCTCGGTGGATGGGGGCGTAGTGACAGAATGGTTAGAACGTCGGACCCTCCGGTTCCAACGCGGAGGGTCCGGGTTCGAATCCCGGTTGCGCCATGCCCTCTCAATGCTAATATGATTTTTGCAGTCACCACTCTCCACCGAAGGGTGGTGACGATGTGCGCCGCGTTCCATTTTTTTTAAACGAAAACTGAAGGGGCGCTGTGTGGTAAAGCACTAAGCTCACCAAGTGGTTGCCGCACAGGTGGCGGGCAGTGACAGCCTGCTGCCGATGATTTGTCGGGCGGTGATGAGCGGATTGAGGTAGCTGTTTCATAGACCGTAAGAGTGTCCCTGAATAAGAAGCAAGGAACTGCGCCTTATCTAATATGTCGCGGCCTTCAATCTACCCCCTCTGCGGGCGACGTCCCGTAAAACTACTGAACCGCGAACGAACGCCGAGCCCGTCCCGAAAACTTGGTGATACCTTCCAAAGGGATCGGGCTACTCGCTAGATATGGCCGCCGCCGCTAGCTGTCCCCGCCGCCGCTAGGTGTCACCACCGTCGTTCCGTCCTTTCACCGGTCGCCTCCGTGTGCCGCAGGCGCGATGTTGGTGCTGGTGCTGAAGGTGACCGCCGTGCTGGTGGCCGTGCGGCTGCTGGTCCGCTGGCTGCGCCGGCCGCGCTCCAACAACCCGTTCGCCAGCGACGCGCGCCAGTCCGTGCGCCCGCTCGTCACCGACCAGAAGGCACGCGATCGGGTCATCAAGCAGTGTGAGTGGCTGGGCTGGGCTGGCGACCGTGCCCCGGGCTCAGCCGTGGTTGACGGCAGATATTGCTGCTGCCCTGGGCTCGCCCGTTTGGATGCGTGTTGGCGTTGTGTAATTTTGATGTGGTATGTTGCTTCGATGTGGCCAGGTTGTGAAACGTCGGTGAGGGTAAGCTGTTTTGCGTGTTTTCAAGGTATCGCTCGTGCGAAGTTTTGCTATCCTTGGCGTCACTGAGAATCTCGAAATATGTTGTTTTTGGTCTCCCTTGATTTCCTTCAAGGTGTGTGTTTTACGTGGAAGCGTGCGCGTTCTAGCCTCAATTAGTGTTTCATTCATTTTCTTGTAAAAGCTTGGAGCCCTCGCTTGACAGCTTCCACATATCTCATTCACTTCCCAAATTCTTCAGGAAGCTCGGTGTGTCGTGTAGCCTAAATCATGGTCATCTGCACTAAGTTCACGATCATTCACGGCGTAGTGGGCACAGCCCGCTTGCCTGCGACAGCGGCGGTGCGCGCTTTCGCGAACTTTGTGTTATACCTGTGCTCACTAGATGTCGCTGCCGGCAGCGTTCTCGCCTGACCGCGTGCCGGCCGACCTGGACGCCATCGTGATCGGTAGCGGCATCGGCGGTCTCTCCGTGGCCGCCATCATGGCCAAGGCCGGCAAGAAGGTGCTGGTGCTGGAGCAGCACGATCAGGTACGGAGCTGGGCTTGCGAGCGGGTCGGCAGCCCGTGGTTGGTCTAAAACGGTGCGGCCGGGAGGGGGCCGGCAGCTATGTGGACTGAGGATGGTGGTGAGGTGGCGCGCGTACAGGTGTAGGACTGGTGCTGAAAGATCTCAGCGGTGCGCGGCTCGTGCTGAGGTCGTCGGGAGACGGTGCGGTGTCTGAGGGTGGTGGTGAGGCGGTGCGGACAGGTGTGGGACTGGTGCTGAAAGATCTCGGTGGCGCGCGACTCGTGCTGAGGTAATGGGGCGGTGCGGGTGTGTGAGGGTGGTGGTGAGGCGGTGTGGACAGGTGCGGGACTGGTGCTGAGAGATCTCAGCGGCGTGCGGCTCGTGCTGAGGTGGTGGGGAGGCGGTGCGGTGTCTGAGGGTGGTGGGGAGGCGGCGCGCGAACAGGTGCGGGACTGATGCCGAGAGATCTCATTGGCGCGCGGCTCGCGCTGAGATGGTGAGGGGGTGCGGCGTCTGGAGCTGACGCTGGTCCCCTTGGGGCCCGCGGCCGTGGAACCCATCTGACCGGGTGCAGGCCCGCTATTTGTGGCAAGAAGTGGCACCACGCTGGGTGTCTGTAGCGGCCGGGCTACATCGAGGGCTGGGGAAGCCGCAGCGTCCAAGTGCTTTGTCATGACTGGGTGGATTGAGTACATATAATAGCATTTCGGTGTCAAAGAGGGTAGGTTCCAGGTTGCCAAGACCACGCGTCGGCTGACTGTTTCGTAACGTGGGGCACGTGATATCCAACTGCGTTGCGTTCTCAGCCCGGGTGAGCTAAATGCCTCCCTCGTTTACTTTTTGATGCATTTTTGGGAAAGTTTGGTGGGACGCATCAGGCGTTTTCTCAGTTAGGCGACGGTCGCTTACAACTGCCATCGTCGCTGGAAGCGACTATCTTACGATCTAACCGATGCCGTTGGTCAACTGCACTCCACTGATGTAACGACCAACATGACGCCAAGCTCTCCGTCACCGCGTCACACTCTCAGCCGACCGCGCGCCCTCTGCGTGCGCGCCGTGGCGCGCCGGGCCGCCTGCGGGTGCCGATAGGTGGCGCCACTGTCGCGTCGGTGGCCGGACGCCCGTGGGCGCCGATAGATGGCACCGGCGTCGTGGTTGGCGGACGGCCTCCCGCTGGCGGTGATAGATGGCGCCGGTGTCGCGTCAGTTCTCTTCAGCTCCATACCACGCCGTAAAAAATTAGCGTCTTCAACGTCTACTGCATTGAGATCGTGGCAACGTGCTTTCGTTGGTGTATTGCGTACTCTTTGCAGCTAAGCGGAGAGAATCTCCTAAAGGTCACTTGGCACCTGAGACGTATGTTCTACCAATTCAAATGCAACAAACGTCGCTAACTATCACGAGTAACTATCACGCCATGAACATATAGCCCTCACTGAACAGTGGATAGTACCAGACCAGCAGGACGGTAATTGGATCCTGAAAAAAGAGGACGGTATAGAGAACAAGTGGGACGCATTCAAACGTTGGTGCCCCAACACGTTGTTGTGCTGTTAACATGTCGGCAATGTTATAATTCTTCTATCTTCTTGTAAATTGTGGCGTCACCCCTTCCACCCAAGTGAAAAGCAGTTTCACTTCGGTGGGCCACTGGGTGGCGGTACGGGCGGCGGGAGCTCGTTCGCGCTCCAGAACGAAGTTTGCCTGGCACCTCATGATTCAGCAGGTGCTGCAGCCTTGAGCACTGCTTTAATTTTTCAAGTGCAGCGTTGAAAAAGTCGCTAATTTGGTGCATACGTGTCCCGAGAGCTTGGGAGCTACGCGAATCTGTTAGCAAAATGTAGGGAGGCGGAGTGACTACGGAAACTGACGCGAAATACGTTACTGGTTACGGAAAGTGACGCGAAAATGCGTTAGGTTTCGGAAACTGACTTCAATGGTTATAACCTAACGTTAATGGTTAGGTTTCGTTATAACCTTCAATGGTTATAACCTAACAAACTTCAAACAGTCGCCGGCCGTAGCCTGTTATTAGCCAGCCTTAGCCTTAGCCTTAGTCGCATTTCGCCGGTAACCGAGCACGACTGGTCTTGCCGAAAATGTGACCACTTCTCAGATCCCACCTTAGTGAGTTGGGATAGGGAGTGCAACGGCCGAGTGGTTAGCGTGTCGGACTCCCATGTGGTGTCCCGGGTTCGAATCCCCGTTGCGCCATGGGCTCCGAGCGCTTGCATGACCAGTGCATTCGCTGGCTCTCCATAAAGGGGGCGTGACGCGTGCGCAGCGATCCATTTAGAGAATGATGTGATAGCCGCCTGTAGGAGGTGTGACTCGGTCACTGCGATTTGAGAGCCTGCGTGACCCCTCTAGCTTGTGGTTTCCTAGTGACCCCTGTAGGCTGCGGTTTCCTAGCAACCTTTCTAGGCTTTTAGGTAGTGACCCCTCTAGGTTGCGGTTTCCAAGTGACCCATCTAGGCTGCGATTTCCAAATGACCCTCTCTAGGTTGCGGTCTCCAGGTGACCCCTCTAGGTTGCGGTTTCCTAGTGACCCCCGTAGGTTGAGGTTTCCAAGTGACCCCTCTAGGTTGCGTTTTCCTAGTGACCCCTGTAGGCTGCGGTTTCCTAGTAACCCCTCTAGGCTTCTAGGTAGTGATCCCTCTAGGCTGTGGTTTCCAAGAAGCCTTTCAAGGTTGCGTTTTCCTAGTGACCACCCTAGGCTGCGGTTTACTAGTAACCCCTCTAGGCTTCTAGGTAGTGACCCCTCTAGGCTGTGGTTTCCAAGTAACCCCTCTAGTTTGCGGTTTTCTTGTGACCCCTTTAGGCTGCGATTTCCTGGTGACCCCTTTAGGCTGCGGTTTCTTAGTGACCTCTCTAGGCTGCGGTTTCCTAGTGAACTTTCTAGATTGCGGTTTCCTGGTGACCCCTTTAGGTTTTGGTTTCCCAGTGACCCCATTAGGTTGCGGTTTCCTAATGACCCCTTTAGGCTGCGGTTTCTTAGTGACCTCTCTAGGCTGCGGTTTCTTAGTGACCTTTCTAGATTGCGGATTCCTGGTGACCCCTTTAGGCTGCGGTTTCTTAGTGACCTCTCTTGGCTGCGGTTCCTAGTGACCTTTCTAGATTGCGGTTTCCTGGTGACCCCTTTAGGTTGCGTTTTTCAAGTGACCCCTCTAGGTTGCGGTTTCCTAGTGACCCCTGTAGGTTGAGGTTTCCTGATGACCCCTTAAGTCTGCGGTTTCCTAATGACCCCTTCAGGCTGCGGCTTCCTAGTGACCCCTCTAGACTGCGGTTTCCTGGTAACCCCTTCACGCTGAGGTTTCTTAGTGACCCCTTCGGGCTGAGGTTTCTTAGTGACCTCTTTAGGCCGCGGTTTCCTAGTGACCCCTTCAGGCTGAGCTTTCGTAGTGACCCCCTCAGGCTGCGGTTTGCTAGTGACCCCTCTAGGCTGCGGTTTGCTAGTGACGGGTCAGTATCGTCACGGTAGGCTAAGAACTAAGACGAACCTGGCGATCTGGGGCAGAACATAAAGCCTTGCGCCCTTGGCATGCTTTCACATTTTCGTGCTCGCACGGAACAAGAACGAGTGGCATTGGCTTGACTACTCTGAACGATGATAGCGCTCACTGAACTGAACGAAGTGCACGCGAAAGCTCATGATTTTAACTTATGTATTTCATTTGCACAAATGCAGTCCGCACAACAATTTGTCGCCGAACGTTTGCCTCGAAGCAATATCGGCTTCTACATGGCGTGCAATATCACTTGCCCGTAACGCACGTGTTTTCCTTTTCGAATTTACGACGAACCTGTTTATTGCATTTGCGTCTGAGATCAGAACTTGCGCTAAACAACGTGGATTGCGCGAGGCCGACTACAGCAGCGGCCGTGAAATCCCGGGCTGACGTTTCAATTTCATGGCGAAAGCCTGGTCTGCCGCAGTGCTTCTCACGATCCTTCCCACCCTCTGACTTGACCTGACATTTACGCTTAGACCTCGGACCATTTCAGTCAGGGCGAACAGCGGGCGCATGAAACAGCTCGAACCCACCCCGCCACTGGTGGGTGAGTCGGAAGGCAGGCGCTCTAACCAGCTGAACTATCGGGACAGACACGTATGACACGTGCGGCTCTTGCTCCCTGTCCAGAGACCAAATAGTGGCACACTTCGCCAGCGCCCGCCCTCCGCCACTCCGGCAGCGCGGCGTCCGCCCTCCGCCACTCAGGCAGCACGGCGCATGGCCCAGCCGTTCGGAACCTGGTCTCGCGCCTCGCCGGCGTCATTATCGTTGGTGCTTTACGATGCACTCAGCTGCTGAAGCTAACTGACGCCACCTGCCTCCACTCTGGGAGGAAGGGCATCTGGCACCGGGAATCGAACTCCGTACCACTGGTCTCCCAGACGTGCAGTTGTTAACGTAGATGCGTTAACCACTTCACTATCGGCACCCTTCGTGCATCGTCGGATCAAGAGCGTCGCGGACGAACATGCCGGCCATCGCGGCGCGGTGTGTCGTATTATCGACACGGTGTCGTAGTACAATACGACATGGCGTCGTAGCGCGTCCCTTTGTCGGTCTGACCATCGCCTGGCGCCGAGGAGACACTGAACCGACCGCCGCGTGGTGAATAGCATACGTCGTGTCAGCCGATAATGACCACGTGCGGACATCCGCTTTGTTTCGTCTCTGAAGCGTTCATCAGCCCGCGGACCGTCCTTGTGAACGACGGTCCTCACACCTCCGGCAACGCCTCGCACATTGGGACCGCAGAGTGAGCCGGCTGTGTAACAGGAAGTACGCCGCTCATTCGTGCTGGCCTATGTGACGGGAACGCGGACCTGTGGCTGGCTGGCGTTGTTGCGTTGTGGCTGGCTGGCTGGCGTGGCTGGCGGACGGTGAAGGCGGGATGGCCGCGGCCTGACGCGACGTAGGTCCAGAGCATGGGCTTGGAGGCTGGATGCTGCCTCCGACGTAACGGGCTCAGGCTATGTGGTCAGTGCCGCCGCACGAGCGTGTTCAGCT